TCCCCCTCAATAATAGAATTCCAAACAAAATTTAGCTTTTAAGATCATGACACTTAAACAAAATTGAATTTCAACAAAGAATAACAAACATGTTAGTAGCACATGAAATTCAATAAATCCAAGTCTAAAATATTTTATGCAATATCAATTATTGAAATTGAGTGCATATGCATAAAGTTTTCCAAAAATGTTATGCATTTGAAAATTTTGATATCAATTGTTGGAGAGATATCTTTTGCATTTTAAATCACATGCATAAACATTTAATTTTAGGTCAAAAATTTAAAATTTATAAAATCAAAACATTTGAAAAGTTGATATCAATTGTTAGAGAGATATCATTTGCATCAAAACCAATTTTGACCAAAATTCCTTATTAAAAATTCTAAAAAAATCATTAAAACTTTAAAATGTTCATCATAAAACCTTTTTAACATACATGAGATTAAAACAATAATGTATAATTATTTAAAAACAAAACTCATGCATGCTTAAAATCAAATGAGCAACCAAATAACTAAAATTAAAAACATTAAGCTTAGAGGTTACCCATTCCTTTTCATGTGTGGCTAGAGCATCTTGAATATCATCATTTTCATCACAATTGCTCCCACACACCTACAAGAGACATTTAAGTAGATTTTGGTATCCAAATTGCTTTGGATCCTTGAACGTTAGTTACAATGCCCCTTGTTCCTTTCAGAATCCATACTTGTCTAATTCTAAAACGTTTTCTTTTCTTCAAAGGACAAGTATGTTCATTATGACCATGATAATGACAATGTGAGCATATTGTCATTATTGAACTAAATGAATTATTTAAAATGATTTCTTTTTCTTTTGTTAAGCATTCAAGCTTAACTTTTAAATCAGAATTTTGTTTTTCAAAACTTTCAATTTTTATTTTTGAAAGCTCTAAATCCTTTTTCAAAATTTCATTTTGGTTTTCAAAATCTATTTTTGTTTTCAAAAGAAAATCGTTTTCGATTTTAAATTTTGAAATCATTTTTCTTATATTTGGAGTTCATGGTCTCAAACTCCAAATATAACCTATTAAAAGCATCTAATAACTCATCAAACGTATATGAATTAAGTTAGAAGATACCTTGGGCTCTTCATGAGCCATTAGAGACACCACCTTTGTTGGTTCTTCTTTCTTGTTTCCATGGATTTCCTCGAGCTTATTCCAAAGCTCTTTGGCACTTGAACATGAAGAAACCCCTTCATAGATTTCAGGACCAAATGCACAAAACACCATGTGCATGGCCTTGGCATTAAGTTGAGCTTTCTTCCGTTCTTTGTTACTTCTCTTCTTCTCCTTCTTCTTTGGAGAAGAGTAGCCGTTCTCGATTATCTCCCATGCATCAGATCATTGGATTGGATGAATACCTTCATTAATTTCTTCCAATGATGGTAGTTGACTCCATTGAAGTATGGAGGTTTGTCGGTTGGTAGGGAGTTTTGTATGTGGAACGAGCCGGAGGTGGAAGCCATCTTCTCGGTTGTGTCGGAAATTAGTAGAGCTTCTTCTAGGATCGTCTCAAGGTGGTTAAACCTTCTAACGAGTTAGGCTCTGATGCCAATTGTTTGGATTTTTGGAAGCTCAAATCGACAACTAGAATTGCTTGCAAAGAGGGTCGGGATCGGTTTTTGTGTTTATGGAGTAAGGAGATTGAAAGATAGAGATTTACACAACGATTTATAGTGGTTTGACTTATCAACCAAGTCTACATCCACTGCCTTAGCTCCTCACCAAGGATTTTCCAACAAATTCACTAATTTGTTCTTTCTTTTGAGGATAAAACCTTACAACTCCCTAGTTTTTTCGGGCTAAACTAGAACATTTCCTTAGCTTTTACACGAGATAAGCTAGAACCTTTCCCCTTTACAAAAGGATAAAATATGTAAACAAGAAAACCTCTCTAAGGTAGGTGTTTACAAGATTGAGCTCACAAGAACAAAATATTTATAAGAGAAATATGAAATAAGAATGAAAAACTCTTCTCTTGTGTTTGATTGCTTGGATAGTTGTTCTCTTACTTCTTCAAGTGTCCTTAGCTTGTATTTATAGCTTGGAATGTGTTTGATGTTGTATATAACCATTGGGGATGTTTTGGAGCCGTTTGGGGATGATTTTTCTACTCAAAAAGGCTGCTCATAACATGGTGCATCGATACCCCTTTATTAAATTCAAATAAACTAGTCGTTACTGGCCGTTGCAGCCTTGGTGCATGGATGCACAGCAGAGTGCATCGATGCACTAATTGCATTCGAAATGGAGTGCATGGATGCACTACATGGTGCATCGATGCAATAGTGACAGGTACATGGATGCACTACACGGGTGCATGGATGCACTTTGACACCCTTTAGCATTTTTGCTCAAATCCGAATTTAATGGACTTTGAATTATTTTTGAAACTTTTTTAAAACTTTGAATAAATTCAATTCAAGTCCAAAAACATTTTGCCTTTAAATTTGTTACATCGAAACATAATTCAACATTTGCAATGTCATGATAGATTGATAGTAATGCATGTTCATGAATCTATTGTTATACGTTCATTTTATGCCTCACTAAGTCAGTGACTTAGCGTGTAAGTGGTTTACACGTAGGTACCAAGAAATAAGAAGATCAGAATTAGGAGTTGCAAGGACATCATACCTTACTAGAAGATCAGATCAGATGTAATTGGTAAAGTATGTATTTTGTTGTATTTAGTGTATTGGCATGTAAACAATTTGTGAATTACGAATGCTCTGATCGATTTTGTATTATTCTGGTCAAAGTTGTGTAAGTTAACAACTTTTATTTTAATGAAAGTTTCAAATTTCTATGATTTTCTTTAAGAGTCAAAGTTTGAAAAGTCAAATGTGACACCTCAGATTCGTATCCGGATCGGGTACGGGTTGGGGGTGTTACAAATATTTGCTGTTGGGATCGATCCATCCAACTGTAAACCACTGTATCTTCCAAAAAGAGGATGAACACCAGAGACCTCGGGCAGAAATTATACAAAATTCAATCCAGATTTTCCCCATACCAAAAAGTGAAGAAAGATTGAAAGTATGTGCCTACTTTTCTTCTGGAAAAAAGTTGGAGCTGAGGTATATTGCATTCTTTAGAAGGCTACTTTACTTTTATGAGAAGAAAGTTTAAGCCTAAGCACCATCATTAGGGTTATCCTTTTTCCACATTAGAGTGCCATGCAGTTGACCAAGAATAGGCAACTGGTAAATAAAAACGCAACTGGTAAGATGCAAGGCTAATTTGATGAGATATACATGTAAAGGAATGCAAGAAAGAAGATAGAACTATTGTACTATTGAATATAAAGTGTGGTAGGTGTCATAGTCTTAAGAGTATCATGTTCATAACTTCCCTACTCCCACACAATAGAAAGGCAAAGCCCATAGCTCTTTTATATAGCAGCAAGTCTTCAAGTTTACTTTGGATGGATTTAAAACCATCCACCCAAATAAAACAACAAAGTCTCTATTTATTGAATTGTCATTCCATGCATACACACGCATAGGTGATTTTCTTCGGCTTAGAAAATTAAAGCCACCTCCATCGCGCCTGCTCTGTACCCTCCACAGTTTGCTTCTGCCTCCGCTCAGCAGCAGTTCCACTGCTTTCAGGTTGAAATCTCTCATACTCCAATGCCTTCTCTGATGCTCTCATCTCGTTGTCCTCTGGAAAAAAACCCATGCCAGTCCTTATCAGTAGGAGCTTCACATAGTGGCTTCAATTCACCTTTTTGCTCTAGTAAGGATATCAATTCAGCTGGTAGAGTTTCCTCCTGAAACAGAATTCAGAATTGCATTCCCATCTCCAGTGGCTTCAACAAATCTGAAACTACCCCACCCTGCTCTACATTGGTTCTGTATCTAGAGCCTTCTCCATCAGCTATGACATCTTTTTCACACATTGCTTTACTTGGATAATGAGAACCAATTCCAGTCATGTAGTCAATGGTCTGACATGCATTCAACCCTGTCATGACTTGAGAGAAGGTGGACGCCACAAAGATAAGGAATCACCAGCTTCACTTTGAGGGAGACACTCTTGCATCCTCAACCAGGAAGAAGCATGCCCGTCATTTTGTACACTGTATCCACACTCATTTGGTTTGCCAACATGCTTGTCTCACCTAATTCTTTTTGTTTGCCTTTACAATGCAGATAAATCAAGTTTTGGTTTCCCTGAATCATAATTGGGAAAAGAAGACTCCGAGTGAACCCCATTGCTTTGATTAGCAGCATAATCCTTGAAGGTAACTCTGCTATCCAAACCCCCTCTCATGGGTTGCAACAGCTTTTTTTGGAAGTCCACTCCATCTCCAAGTTTTCCTTTACCTCTAGTTAATGCATCATAAGGCTATTGATTGAAAACATTTATTTGATTCTATTCTTGTATATTTAATGAAGTGCATGACTGATAAACCCCAAAAGAATGTAATAGTAAGTACGAGGCAATTAGAATAATTTCATCATCTCACACTAACCACTGTCTCACAATTGATCAGGTGATATAAGAACAATTTGTCAAAAAAACATTTGAAATATCAACTCATGGTTTGTTGATTTGCAACCTTTTCCCCTTCAAACCAACTCCCTCTTTAGTAGTTGCAGCTCTCCATGAAATGCTCTTAATGGAGGTCCTACTGGTATTGAAAATGCCCAAAGACACATAAATATCCATATACATGCTGGTTGGTGTAACCTACTTCAATCGAGACCATAATGGCCTTTTTCTTTAAACCAAGCAATTCGACTGATTTTGTTTAATAATTACCATCATTATCACTTATTAGGCACCTGTGGTTTCAGCAGTTGGTAACAGAACAAGCAATGGTGCAAGAATAACTCATAACAATTTTATCCCATAAACTCTCAATTTATGCAATTAGTCCCTTAACTCATAGCAATTAGGTGCCCGATGGATGCATGGTATTGGGGATTTTGAAGTGTTACACTTAGGAATAAAATAGGAAGGTGTTATATTTTTATTTTTTGTTGTAAGAGATCAAAACAGTTTGCAACATCATTGTCCTAGCTTCACATCTACCAGCAGGATTGGCACTGCCCCAACTGGTGGATCCTTAAAGGTAGCTAAACCTAGTGGCTGAGCCACTTCCAAGTTCGCCATGTAGTCCTCAAATGTATTAGATGTTCTGAATCAGAATATGTACACCATTCCCAGGCTCTACTATCATTCTATAAGAAGGACAATGTCGATACTTTGGCGATAGAGAGAACGTAAACTTGGAGATTATGAGGGTAAGCACAATTTTTAACTGAACCATTGCCAAGTTTCTGCCCAAGCACAACCGAGGACCCACTCCGAATGGAATATAGGCTTGGGGATACTTGCAAGCTTTAGAAACCCCACCACTGAACCTATCTGGCTTGAACTCATTTGCATCTGAACCCCAAATCTCAATGTCCCTATGCAGAGTTGGTATCAGAGTCCATAAGCATACTCCCTTGGGAATAGTCACATTCCCAAGTCGGATCTCATCAAGGGCCTCCCTTGACACAAATGCCGCCGGTGGATATAAACGCAGAGCTTCTTGAACCACCATGGTTACCTACAACCAGCCAACATCCTTGTATCATTTATAGTTATAATGAGAGTGTGGATGTGTGAGACTTGACCTTTGTTACTTACAGTTTTCAGGAGGGCAATGGAGTCTGCATCTGGCATGTTGTCTCCACAAACTTCAGCCACTTCTGTTCGAACACGAGATTGCCACTCGGGATGCAATGCAAGCAGCATGAGACACCAAGATGCAGCAACGGCAGTAGACTCATGGCCGGCAAAGTATATATTTTTACAATTATCAACTATGAAGCTCTTGGATGAATCCTTACCAAGACTTTGGTCATTCAAGGCCCCTTCTAGTATCAGGTGCAATAAATCCTTCTCTAACGAATGTGCCTCTTTGCATTTTCTTTCGCGCTCTTTCACTGTTTCCCATATTAATGACTCGATGTCTCTCTCCAAACTATGTATCTGATTTTCCTTCTTCATCGATAGAAGTCTGCATTTGCATTTCCATGAATACATAAGAGAACAATAATGCAGGGATGTAATGTAAATAGTGACATACAAAGTTTCTTAATGATTACAAGTGAGACTTGAAGCACATTCGTACCCGTAGCCTGAAACTCCGAAAAGGAAGCTTTGCCTGGAAATGGTTGTTTGAAGTTCCCTAAGCTTGGAAAAGATCTCTTTCCCTTTAGAATAAGAGCTCCCAAAACAAGCTCTAGCGATGACATCTGCTGTGAAGCCCCTCAAATCTTCATCCACTCTAATGTCTGCCACCACTCCACCTTGGGACTCAATGCTGTCCTCCCATTTTCTTACAAGCGGTTGCATGGACTCCACCATTAGCCCCACCATTACCTGCTCAATCATTTCATTTTACTCTAATTCAAGTCATTTCTTTAGTGCACTGCTTTGAGTTTGGAACACACTTACCTTAACCTTGTCCATGAAGAACTCGGGGGCAATGATTTTCCTCTGCTGCGCCCAAACGAGGCCATTGGATCTCAAAATGCCATTGCCGAGCAAAGGTGCCAGTCTCTTTGCTATATAAGAAGGCTTACCTAAACACAAACTAATGCATTGGTTCATTTCTTTCACTAGCTCTGCTTGGTTTACATACAAGTGCTGTCTCGTCCCCGTGGAATATGTGTAAATTGGACCTACAGTTTCCACACACACACAAAACACAAATTCAACTCGATTGATCAACGATGCCCATGTTAATCACTTACACGCATCACGTGAACAGGTATGGGAAAAAAATATAAAGCTAAAGGAGAGAGAAAAGGCAAAATTTTCTGAATGGCTGACTAAACATGTGTTGGATATTAATTGTTTGAATTATGGGTCTGAACACACAGAGTTGACTGAAAATCAGCATCTGCCCCCACAATGCCAGCTCTTCCCGGCAGTTACACCCAAATCATTTCGCAGAAATATCCTACTGAACAAGTTTTTAATAGTTCGTGCTGATCATAAGATAGTTCGCATATAAATGATGTAGACCGCTCGAATTCGAGATCTCTAAGAACTTGACGAAGAATTAAAAGGCAAAGGAAGAGTTGTGATGTTACCGAATTCCTTTCTCCACTTGACGAAATATGGGAAAACAGAGGAAGTGTAGTCGTGTGCAACAATATCATCGGCATTATCAGAAGTGGATGCGAGTGCTTGGGATTGGATCTTCTGCATCTCCGGAAGGTTGCCGTAAATGAAAGAAGGTGATGGACCTTTGATGCCCTGCACCCACAGCTTCCTCCTCACCCTTTCCGAACTCAACCACATGCTGTTATACGCCGAGAAGCAAACAACTCCAACGACACCAACGATCATAGACCACAAATGCCACACCTCCATTCTAATCTACTTGATGAAACAGAGGGAGAGATGATGAGCTTGAATTTATAGCAACCGAGTGGGGACTGAAGAAGAGTTTAGGGTCCAGGAATCAAGGGGTAAAGAAGCACGCTCATTCACACTACATTTATGCTGCCTTGGAACAGATGATTGGACCCTTTGTCTGACCTTTCACACCAGGGTTATTGGGAGATTGACAGTCCAGATAGGGACATCACATACACCCATTATTTCTTTCCTTCTAATTATCTTTGTCAATTAAATAAATCACCAATTTGATATCCAGTTATGTGACGATGATGTTGAGATCAGATGGATCGAGAGCAGAGGGAAATGGATCATATAAAATTTTATGTCCATACTTGAAATATGAGAAAATAACATCAGTGACCAAAAATCTCATATAATATACGATTTTAACTAATTTTTTTCAGATTTGCTAAAATGACTAACAAAATCGCAATGCGATCGCTAATTCGCAACGCGATCTCCATTATCGCAAATCAGTTTCCAGATTCGCAACGCGATTATTACTATCGCAATGCGATTTTCCAATTTTGCGTTGCGATTTTCCCAATTCGCAATGCAAATAAGTAAATCGCAATGCGAATTTGGAAAATCGTAATGCGATACTGACTATCGCAACGCGATAATACAAAATCGCAATGCGAATTTGGAAAATCGCAATGCGAATTTGGAAAATCGCAATGCGATACTGACTATCGCAACGCGATAATACAAAATTGCAACACGATACTGACTTTCGCAACGCGATTCTGACTTTCGCAACAAGATTCTAACTATCGCAACGAGATAATACAGAATCGCAATGCGATTTTCAAAGTTCGCAACAGGTTTTAGTTTCGCAATACAAATTTTTTGTGTATATATCTACGCAGCAGCAACAACTCATAACCTAAATCCCTAAATCGCAACTCATTCCATCTCCATCTATCACTCTCTCCGGCGACATCCGTTCCTATATCCAACGACATCCTTCCCCATCCGGCAACAGGTCTTAGTTTCGCAGCTCGTTTGTTTAGTAAATTAATTTACAACCATGAAATCATCTAATGTTGATCATGTTTGGATAGATTTGTGTTTTGGAGGGTCATGGGAGAATGTTCATGGTGTTTTACAATATATGCCTTTACCCATGAATCTTCAACTAAAACTGTCATTAAAAAAGTTAACTTATGAAACTCTAATGTTACGTGTTTCAAAGAAATTGAATTTAGAGCCCCTAAGTGGATTTAGGCTATCTTATCAGAGAAATTGTAAAGTTTATTTGTTAACCGACAATGAAGATGTTAAACGATTCATTGCTTACATTAGTGTTTCAAGTGATGATGTTACATTGTATGTTGTTGAACCTAGAAGTAGTAATGTTGGGTCAGTAGCGGGTAATAATCAACTAAGTTTTTCTCAAAACCCACAACCTTTCTCTAATCCAAATCCCAATCAACTTCCAGCACCAAATTCTGGTTTTCGTATTGACCAATTAGACGATGATGAGCCAAGAGAAAAAATTGTGAGTACTAGTCAGTATTCGAAATTTGATCTTGGTCAATACCCGAACTTTGATATTGGTCAATACTCAGATTTTGATGATGTTTCAAAAGAAGAAATAGACCCTGCGTGTAATGATTTTGATATTGGTCAATACTCGAATTTTGATGATGAAACAACCGTTGCCGAGGAAGATGTTGTTGATGATAATAAGGAGGAAGTTACGACTGTGAATGAACATGTTGAACATCCATTCTGTAATTCATATAATCCTGAAGAAGAAAAAGAAGAAGAAAAAGTCCCCGAAGAAAAGAAAATGCCACGGGAGTATAACTGGAATATGCCAGAATTACTTCAGCTACCGGAAGAAGAGTTGGTAAAGAAAGCAGTTGATTGTTACACAAAAGTTATTCGTATCAAGAAAGATGATTGTTTTGATACAAAGGAAGACTTGAAGATAGCTTTGTATACGAAATGTGTGGAAGATGGCTATCAACTAAAAGTTAACAAATCAAGCAAAGATCGTTTCGAAACAAGGTGTATGATTGACAAAAACTGTACGTTGCTTATGATTGCAAAGAGGATAAAAGATTGCGAAATGTTTCAAGTTAGGACTTTTATTGATAAACATACATGTTCAAGAACCCAAGTTTTTCCTCACCATAGACAGGCAAACAAAAAGGTGTTGGGTGGTTTTCTGGCTGAGTTAATGTTTTTGAATGGCAGGGTATATCGGGGACATGAAATTATAACTGACATGAATGCTCGGTTCAAGATTAGTATATCATATTCTCAAGCTTTGAGAGCCAAATGTTATGCCTTGGAATTGTTGAGGGGGTCGCCAGAAGCATCGTTTGCCCAACTACCGGCTTATTGTCACAATTTAAAGCTGAAAAATCCTGGGATCAAAACAGATAGAGATGGACGCTTTGAATTGCTGTTTATCGCCATTGGTGCTGCGGTTAGTAAATCAATATAATTCTTTTGACTCATTTTTGTTAGTTACATGCATTTCACATTTAAATGATTATATTTCTTGTGTATATTATTTTGTAGATTCGTTCATTTATTACTTGCATGCGCCCAGTTATTATAGTTGACGGAGCACATTTGAAAGGTCGATACCTTGGAGTAAACTTATTAGCAGTAGCCATGGATGCTAACAATGGGATATTGCCAATAGCTTACGAGGTTGGCAAATCTGAAACCTTTGATTCATGGACATGGTTTATGGGGCATCTTAGGGATTGCATAGGTCCTATTAGCAATCTGACAATCATATCCGATAGGGCAAACTCAATTGACAACGCTGTTAGAAGGTGTTTCCCATATGCTTTTCATGGACTTTGTGGTGTTCATTTGTATATAAATCTAAAATCAAGGTCTGCTGGTATAAAAAATCACAAATGGACATACTGGAAGGCTATAAAAGCTTATCGGGAAGTGGATTTTAATAAGCATATAAACTGTTTAAGACGTGTTTTGCCTCAGTGTGCTCAAACACTAGAAGATGTCGGGTTTGAAAGATGGTCAAGAGTAAATAAACTTGGAGCAAGATATGGTTTCATGACGTCTAATAGTGCAGAATCAATCAACTCTCTAAGTCGTCATTCCCGGAAATTACCCATTACTATGTTAATGGTGTTTTTTCGAGCCTCTATTCAACAGTGGTACTACAAGAAAAGAAACCATGCATGTATTATTTCTTTAAATTCGTAACTTATCATATATTTTACTAAGTATTATTTATTTAAATTTACAGGAACATTGGAACATCATGTTATACCATGGACAGAAAAAAAGATAACGAAACGTGTTGTGAAGTCAACGTCATGGAGAGTTGAACCATGTTCAAACACTTTGTTTGAAGTACTGGATAATAACTTAAATAGGCTTGTCGATTTAAATGCAAAGACGTGTGGTTGTATGAAATGGCAGACATCTGGTTATCCGTGTGGCCATGTTATAAAAGTTTCTCTTCATCTAAACCAAGATGATTCAAGCGCATACGCTATGGATTGCTACACTACAAAAGTATATCGACAGACTTATGGCGAGATTGTCTACCCTATTCCACATCCTTCTGAGTGGGACATACCAGATGACTTACAAACAGTTTTACAACCAGCCATGGACAGAAGGCTACCTGGCCGACCAAAAAGTCACGATCGTATACCGTCTAAGGGTGAAGAGAAGAAGAGATCGACATGTAGTCGGTGCAAGGAAAGTGGTCATACAAGGTTGACATGTGGATCACCAGTGCCATCACAATCATCTTTTCCTCTACCAAAATATGGATCCTCATCAAAATCCAAAACTCATATGGTGTCAAGAAAAAGGCAATCAAAATCGTAATCATCTTTAAAATCCCAATCACAACTGGCTTCACCTTTTGGGACTGTTAACTTAGGTAATTTTTAAATGCAAACGTTGTATTATGTAGATTTTATGTGTGAACTTTTAACATTTTCAGTTAGGCATGTATTAGTAACTTGAGTTTGAAAATTGCTATGATCTGTTCAGTTGTTATCACTTATTAGGCAATCATTTGACTATCGCAACACGGAAATAACGTTCGCAATCATCTTAATGTCTATCGCAACACGGAAATGACTATCGCAATGCGAAATGAAAATCGCAACGAGAGAATCGCAATGCGAAATGAAAATCGCAACGAGAGAATCGCAATGCGAAATGAAAATCGCAATGAGAGAATCGCAATGCGAAATGAAAATCGCAACGAGGGAATCGCAAAGCGAAATGAAAATCGCAACGCGAATTTAGTTTTGCATTGCGATTTTGTCGTTACGATTTTCATTTCACGTTGCGATTCTCTCGTTGCGATTTCAATTTCGCATTGCGATAGTCATTTTTGCCTTCAACATAATGCATATTGAAATCAACAAAATCAACCATTACATTTCAATCAATTAAACAAGCACAAATAAGAATTATGTTCACATCAATTAAACAAATCAACTTTTACAAATCATCTTTTACAAATCAATTAAACAATCAAAAAATAAGCAATAATTCTTATTTCCTCATCTGCTATTGAATCAACTTTTGCAGCCATACATCATTTTCACGCAGCTCACTTCTGAGATTAACCTGCATAAACCAAACATTTGCTCAAACAACACTTTCTACACATCTAAAACCTACAAACAACAAATTATTGAATTCTAGGTACTTAACCAAACATTTTCAAACCACAAGCGTATAAACTTACCAATTGTTTATGGACATTTTTATAACGCGGATGCAGGTACGCAGCGTCTCGTATATATCAATCTAGCCATATAATGCCGAAACCACAAGCCTACTGCAGCTCTATCTCTATCGGTGGGAGGTAGATACTTTATACTTCCTGTGATCAAACGCTCCAACGCCAAGCATACGAGAGGACCACAATCCCCTCTGGGTCCTTTCATTTGTTATGGTGCGGTCTCGTCTCTGCTAACTGGAATATTGAGCTTCTTTGGCTTCTTGTTTCCAGAACGAGTCCAATAATTTATCGC